AGAATAGTTTGAAAGAAGGGATTGGCTCTTAAAAGAAGTCTTTCTTTTGTAAATTGGCATATATATTTGTACTACGCAGAAGTAGGAGAAAATATATTTTGCCTGAACATTGGTAGAATAAATCTAGAAGAAATATAAAATATAATTGGTTCGAACATAGGTAGCTGAGTACCAAGCTATAGCAGGTTTTTAAATACAAGTAGCACCGTATATGGAGCTTGTTGGCAATATCAGTGCGATAACCATATTTGGGCACTTTATAACAGCCGGATATATGCCTAATACATAAATTAGATAGTTAATTTTGTAAATTGCAAAAATCCAATAAATTAGTATGAGGTTATTAAAGTAAAAAAAAATTCAAATCATTCAAAAAAGCATAATTTTTAATTTTATTTAATTTAATTGAATATAATTTAAATTTATACTGTATATTACCGAAAATAAACAACCAAACTTTTTTTAATTTTTCCAGGTAAAATAGAAGGAGTAGCTTATTTTTGGGTCCAAAGCTTAGAAAAAAATTTTTTTTTATTTTTGATTTTCAAAATTGGAAGATTGCTTATTTTTGGTAATATATAGTATTTGTTTTAGACTTATAAAAGGCCAAAGTTTGGTAAGTAATAACTTTAATGGCTTAAATTTATTTGAATTAAATCACAATAGTTTGAATTAGCTAAATTTCAGTTTTTATTTTTATTAATAATCTGAAGTAGTTCAAGTCAGTTCAGATGAAAACTTAGCTAACCAAGTAGATGTACCCAAGGCCTTGCTTATATTTTTATTTGGTAATTTATTTAGATAATTATAATAAAAACTCAATTTGTACAAGACAAATAGATATAAATTACATGTAAGAATAAGAGCTCAGACTAAAAAATTGAACTAAAAACAACTAAAGACTCTAACTAATTATCTGCAACCTGAATCTACTAGAGTAGTTAAGACTTATCTAGATTTTAATAATATATAATTTATAGACATGCTATATATAAACACTTAATTTTGTTAAATAAACTACTATAAATATATAGAAAAAACCTCTATATAAGCACAATTTCTTTATAAGCATATTTTTTAAAAAAGTTTCTATATTTCCAATAAGTAATTATATAGAGTGTTAACTATAATTTGTATTATAATTATTTTTTGCATATACTGTATAATTATAAATAAATTTTAAAAGTTATATACAGTAATATAGTATTAAAAATTTTTGATAAAATTTTATAAAAAATTATATAACATATTATTTATAATATATTTAAATACAACAAATTTGTTATATATAATATATATGTAATTAAATTTATTTTTATTAATACTGTAATACGTACTATTAATAAATTTTTTTTACTTCAACTATTAAAAACAGCGGTAACTCTATCTGCTAGGCATTATTCTACATTCTAATTGCCTATCTCGACAATTATAATTAACTGAGAATAAAGATTTAACTTTATCTCTTATACATTATAAAATATTAACTTGATTATGACCCGGTGGTTTCCAACTCCACTGCTATAAGGCCGCATTTTAATTCATTTAAACACTAATATACGCACCAATGGTACTTTTCCACGAAGCGCAAAACAAGTTTATTACTATGTAACTAAAAGAGTATAGCGATGTTCATTTTTGATCGGTTATTATACCCACAGAAAAATGCCGATCGTATCCTCGTATAGAATACTGCTCATATCCGGATAAATTTTTAAAAAGTAGTCTGACGAGCCTTAGGCGGACCTAAAGCGTTACAAGTAAAAAAAAAACTCATGAGATTATTCTTTTTATTGGAATATTGGAAAATCTAAGTCCATTGGAAGTTCCAGATTTCTGTCGATAGCACCATATTGCGCTAATTAAAACCTTAATGCTGATTAAAATATTATATCACTTCTCATTGATCTAAATCCATTTTTTGAGTACATCGCTTACGCACTATGTCTCTAATGATATAAAGTATATTTGATGTTACATAAGAAAGTATGACTCAATATATATACAAAAAAAACTTTTTGTAATGTTCAAAAGCTTATGCGTGAATTGATCAACCGATTTTGAAAAAATCGATCTACTAAGCCGAAATTAGCTCTAGTCGATTTTTTCATTATTGGCCAAGATCACTATTGGAAACCATTTTCACTCCCAACCGCTGTAGTATTACTTGGAGTACCACATTTTGCACAATGCGTCCTTTTAGCAAAGTTATGATAACCACATATTTCATTACGACACAACCAATCGCCAGGTTTCATGTTAGCTGTTGGAGGAGGATTGCCTTGAAGCTGGGCAGGTTTTGACAGTCCACAACGAATGCATTGAAAGCGAGAAGCAAAGTTATGAGAGTTACAAGTCGGACAAATCCAATCACCAGCACGGAATGGTGCCGGAGCCGGTGATGAAGGACCATGGCCTATATTAGAAATATAACCTTGGTCGTTCGCGGGATTTCCATAAGAATCATAACCCATATGATTTTGAGAACCACATCGCATACAAATTGTTCTAGATGCAAAATTCTGAAATGAACAATTTGGATTAGGACAAATCCAATCACCAGGCCTAAAGGGTATACTCGTTTGTGGAGGGCCAAATATGCCCTGAGGTTTATAAGTCGCACATCGAAGACAATGAGTTCGTGAGGCATAATTATGGAAATTACATTGAGGATTAGGACACATCCAATCACCCAATGTAAAATTAGGAGGAGTTTGTGGCACCATCGGATTAGGATTGTTACCATTGCACTTGAAACAAGTCCTCCGAGAAGCGAAATTATGGAATTGACAAACCGTGCAGACCCAATCACCAGGACGTAAACGAGTTTTGGTCATCTTTACATTAGGTCAAAATGGTGAATATGTGACAAAGATGATTCGGATTTGAATCAAGTAACAAGTCCTCTGATTAGCTGCAGGGTATCACTATTGACATTAAACTAAAAAAAGACAAAAAAATTTAATGCCGCACGAAATGCACATACCGGAAACGATGCCAAAATAGCCCCCGCAGCCTCAATGACCCTTTCGCTACTTGGACTTACTTCAATAGCTCTATCACCTAAGGTCCTACCATTCATATCCAAGCAAGCCATAGCATCTTCATGAGTGGTAAAGATTCCAAATCCGGAACCGCTAGGTTTCTGATGATCAGGGGTTTTAATCATCCATAATGTAGTTGGTCTTACACCTTGGCCAGAAAACCAAGCTTCT